CCGACGCTCAAGTTAGGACAAAGCACAGATATCGATAGTAATTAATGAACAGTGACGTTACCTCGTGACATGAGCTATTTATACTGACGTTTATGGGCCCTGACCTCCCTGGGCCCTGTGACAAGATTACCATATTAGGTAATACGCCTCTAATCGGCTTACTGGTGTGATTAACCCTTAACTCTTGATTAAGGGTAATCCTTAATCCCTAACTAGCGGTGATCCGTATTTATAGAGCATTCGGTGGCCGATCAGCTGTCGACTACCTGGTTCGGCTTTCTAGGTGCCGATCGTGTATCGGTCACCTGGTGGCCGATTGGCCTTACCAGTACACTTGCCCCCCAGCCTTGGGGAAAGGGAACCTTCTTCAAGGGTATAGAGGTGAAAGTTATGGGTATAGAGGTGAAGTTAGGTTGTGTAGGGAGTCGAAAGGTTTGGCTAATCTCAACCATTGGATTTTAACGATCAGGCGGTTATACTTTTCAAAATTTTGAATTTTCCCGCCTTTTTTCTTGACTATATATAGGCATGTGTGGTAGGGCCTCTCACGCATATCGCTCTCAGCCGAAGTGTGTTGTCCGAAGAAGTTCAGATCTAGCACGCCAAGTGAACGTTGTAGGATCTCATTCTTGGTAAGTTTAACTTTATGGCTACTTCTTCCGAAAGCTCTTCGGCTAGTGGGGCTCGGTCATCATCACCATCATCCGAGGGGTGGTCATCCAGGGCTTCGGGGCAGTTAGACTTGGAGATACCTGGGTCGAATGAGGACGAAAAGCCGAGCGAGAGTGGGGGTACCTCCGAAGAGACATCCACTAGTGGGAGTGAAGAGGTGCCGACTAGAGCTAAACGTGTCTCCACTCAGCAACGATATGGAACGTCCGAAGAACCTGGTTATGAGTGGGTGAACGAGGAGGTGACTTTGTATTACTCCTGTTACTGAGACACCACAATGATTACGAATTTGTTAGAATATACAAAGTGTTTGGATTTTGACGCCAGGGAGGAGCCATATCTGATTGGGGTTCGGGCTTGCCGAAATAATGGTTTTCCGAACCCTGACGTAGTTTGTTTGGACAAGAGTGCCGAGAAGATGGAATCCTTCTATATGTACGACTTCCTTTTATGAGATCTGAAAGTGAAGCTGCCGTTTGATGAGTTTACCATGGGAGTACTAAGAGCTTTGAATGTGGCTCCAACCCAGCTTCACCCGAATAGTTGGGCTCAACTGCAAGGGTTTAAGCATTTGTGCCGATGCCTAAGCATTCAGCCCTTGCCATTGTTATTTCTTTATTTTTATTCTTCTCGGCCATCGGATTTGGCGAAGTGGGTGTCACTTAACCGAGTGGGGACTCGGCAGCTTCTAGATAGCTTCACTTCATCATACAAGAACTTTAAGGCTGGATTCTTTCGTGTAACTATTCATCCCAATGGACGTCATTTTTTCTTTGGAGGCGACGATAGGAGTTTATTTCCATTGTATTAGACACGTGCCCCTCAGCCATATGATGAAGTGCTGGATGAGCTCCTCACGGCCGAAGAGCAGAAGGACCTGCAGTTTTTGCTTCGCCTCCCTCGGCGCTTGCCGACGAGGTCACTAATAAATGTAGTTGAATCTCCCCAATGGGAGAATGATTTGATAGGTACGTGATTTGTCCCATTTCGGCCTTAAGCTAAATTCATATTGATGTTCACTTGATTACTTGTACAGGAATCATGGTGGCGAGCGGGGCCGATGAGTTCAACATCCGTGACCTACTGGCCGGCCGGGTACAACAGGCTAAAGCTTTTGGGGTTGTGGGCAATTCGACTATTGCCCAAACTCTTCGCCCAGGGTAGGACAACCGAAACCCTCCTTCCCCGAACCGCAAGCACCAAAGAGGGAACATCAA